TCATATTGTCAAAATCGGAAATTAACTTACTAAAAGTTAAAATCTGTGAAACATGAGCTCTTCTTTATTTAAGATTTCAACATGTCAAGAGATCTGGCCACGTAACGATCAAACTAACGTTAGGATGTCCTAGGTTCTTATCTTTTATTGATTCTAGGACATCCTAGTGTTAACATCGTTTCAAGAATACGAGGCCTGCAATTTTAGATCAATACATCAACACAATTGACAGGGTTTATAACATTTCTGATAAAATTGTCAATATATACAGATAGAATTAAATTACATTTATAAAATATATCACTTCATTTTAAATTACAATATTCAACATTTATTTTTATAATCAGAGAGAGAAATAATGAACTTCCAGTACCCTGTTTTTCAAATTTCTCAAAAAGTGAAATGCGTTTACAATTAGACATATAACAAAGTTCATTATACAAATCTTGAAAACTGGATCCAGGATAGGACTCAAAACACAAAAAGTGTACAAAGATCAAGGATATTTCTGAAAAATCAGACATTTTTTGGATATATTTTTAGAAGCACATAAATAAATTTGTTTAATTATAATAAGTTTACAATAAAATGCGAAACACAATTATCTATTTGACATCCCTAAATCCAATATTGAACTCACCCTAAAAGATGCTGTTATGTAAGAGTGGAAAAGTTCACTGTAGGAGTGAGGGATATTTTTGCACTATTATTACTTTCCATAAAATATTTTTTCAAAGTTTCAGCAAAGTTTTTTTCTATTTCATTAAAAGACTAGACAATGGTAGCCATTGTTCATCAAAATTTATAGAAAAAATTTATTTTGTGACTCGTCAAGTCTGCAAATAATTGCCTTGCATTCAGCTTGGAAAATTTAAAAAAAATTCCCATAATTTGTTCAATTTTGTAGCAACCTTTGGAACCATGGCGCACAATCTCAATATGTGATTTGAGGCATGACAAAATACGATTCTGTAAATATTTTGAAGAAGTTTCAACAAAACTAGACTAGACAAGTTCGTTAAATTCAATATTTGAGACAATGTGTATCAATGTTTTTATAAAACAAGTTTTATAATAATGTATATTAAGCCTGTAGGCAGTGATGAATAATGATTAAATCCCTTACAATGTATTTCAAATATACTACATTGTTCATGATAACGTTGCCATATCAACAAATCTTAATCACCAAGGCAACCAATTCTCAGAACATGTACCATGGCAATCAATCCATAATACCACAGCAACATTGCCATACATCATGGTATTCTAGCAACACTACCATAGTAACAGGCCAATAGCACCAGTTCATTTCCATAGCAACAGTCCAATATATACAGATTACTCATATACACCATTCACCACATTATTTACACCATCAAACTTTTTTTTTCAATTTTTCTTCATTTTTCTCTGATTTTGATGTTCAATTCTTAATCTTTTGCTTAATCTTGACTAGACTTGATTAACATGCACTTGATTTGGCTGAAAAAAACAAAATCGGAAATAAAACAAAATTTTACAAGAGCAACAGAGAAATGAAATGGAGTTTTACGTCCTACATTTCTGCTTCAGATTGAGCATTATGAAGATAGTTAGCACCATGCAGTGACCAATGAGTAAACATTATTGCCACAATTTGGCATTCCTTGTCATGGAAAATTTGCTTCTATGGTCTGGGCTCTATAAGGATTTAAAATATTTCTTACCTGAACAGGTTGCTGACTACCTTGTTGCGGTTGTACAACTGGTTGCTGTTGACCTTGTTGTACAACAGGTTGCTGGTGACCTTGCTGGAATTGTTGTTGACCTTGAGCTTGGGCTTGGCCTTGAACTTGTTGGGCTTGACCTTGAACTGCCTGAGCTTGACCTTGTTGTACAACAGGCTGTTGGAATTGTTGTTGTTGTTGTTGTCCGTGAAGACCAGCTTGTTGGACTGGGACACCGTTCATACCTTGCTGATTGACCCCCTGTGAAGCCTGGTTATGTAAAGCCTGACCCTACAAAATAAATATTCTAGTGTAAAAATAAAAAGGAGGGAATCAGTTATCTTCCACACCTGACAAATGTTTAAGTTTATTCGAAATGAAATGAATGGAGTTTTATGTCCTACTTGTCTGCACCTTGTGGTAAGTTTATTCGAAAAAAAGATACCATAGAACATCTTGGTCAGGTTCAAAACATACACACAGAGAGGGTGCTTTATCTCTAGATTTTACTTTTTGTTTGAAAAACATCACATTAAAATACAGATTTACCATTTTCAGGAGTTGATTTGGGTTTAGAATATATGTAGATAGTTTTCAGGAGTACTAGATATGTACAAAAATTGCATAACTCCTTCAAAAATACTAAGATTTTCACTTTCCATTTCTATATGTCTTTCTATGTATGGTGGAGTCTCAAGAAAAGATGAGTCGTAATTTAAATTATCATGAATACACATGGATTTGAAGGCTCGCATTTTGACAGTGAGCTGTGAATGAATGACGAACCTATTTCTTTAAGATTCAATTGGTAATAGCTTGACACTGAGAAATTGTCCCACCCCTATCATTGACAGTACCTGTTGATTAAACTGCTGTTGTTGGGATGCAATGTGTTGCTGTGCAGCGACTATTTGCTGCTGAGCTAACTGAGCTTGTTGCTGAATGGCAGCATGTTGCTGTTGAGCCATCTGTGCCGCTTGTTGTTGCTGTTGAGCTATAATCTGCTGTTGTGCTGCTATCTGTTGCTGATGAAATTGCTGTTGGTTTCCTGGTGGAATGTTCATATTGACAACACTTGGGTCTTGTGGCATCTAAAAAAAAGAAAAGTTAGATCAGAATTTTTCAATTTTTGAGATCAATTAGATGTATATCAATAAAAAATTGGATAAAAAAGGCACATTTGAAGTTAAGAAAAGGAAGGGGAAAACAAAAAATTTAATTAAAAACTTTAAAATATTAAAAAACAACCTCAAAAATATAAAAATAAGGTCTTTGAAACTTTGTTACAAAAAATAAGGAAAAACGAGAAAAAAAATTGGTTCACTATCTATAAATATGAAATTCTTCAAACCTATAAGAAACTGACAATTTTACAATGATTGATGAAATGGAACATAACAGATGTTTATGTCCTCCAATTCTGATCTCAATTAGAAATCTTGATTATGCCATGCATTTTACAACGAGGGAGTAACATCATGAATAATGATGATCTCCCAAACATAAGGGAGCCCATCTTTAAATAGTTTATAATCATTATCATTAATCAATACATAGCCAAATTACCATGCTACTACTTTTGATAATATTTTCAACAAAAATCAGGCAAAATAAAAATACTATGTCATAAAAGAAGGTTTTGTTGGAAGCAGATATTCCAGCTTTATCCTTCCTCATCATTAGTCATTGTTAAATTGTTAATAACATTCCAAACTGACATCAATTTCTGATAAATTTCAGGTAACAACAAACTTATTTTTCTCAGCAAGACGATAGAAGAAGACATTAAACTCTTGTTGGGGTAGGGCGACATGCCCTATAAGATTACTACAGGAAGATAAGGGTTGTAAAACAGTCAATATAAGTATTTTAAATCATTATGAGAGGGGCTGCAAGCTACTTAAAGGGTTCAATTGGTGTTTAAGGCTGCATAAAGACAACAAACTATATAAATAAATGGTTAAGGAGTAGGTTTGGATCAAGGCTGTGTTTGGTTGCAAGACTTACTTCCAGTGGCTCATCTTCTATAGTTTCATCATACATCTTACAGAATAAATAAATAAATAACCAGAAATAAACCAGAATAGACAGAAAAAATGACTGATAAAACTTAAACATTCCACCCACCTCCACAATTATCAGACATTGGGAAATATTAAAATAAACAGGGTTAGATTATTCCAATCCCAAAGCACCACCAAGAAATTTAACAGAATAAACACAGATATATTCACCCAATTACCATCATAAAGATGCACAACAGAGGAGAAAATGTGATGATGTCACTAAATGTGATGATGTCTCTAAATGTGATGATGTCACTAAATGTGATGATGTCACTAAATGTGATGATGTCACTATATGTGATGATGTCACTATATGCGGTTATGTCACAAAATGTGTTGTCACAATATATCATGATGTCACAAAATGTGATGATGTCACTATATGTGATGATGTTACAATATGTGATGATGTCACTATATATGATGATGTCACAAAATATGATTGTGTCGTACCATTACGCTTGAATGTGATTTTGGCACGTCTATACACAATTCTACACAGAAAAGTATTATTTGTAACATCATCGCCACGAGGTAGGAAACATAAAGACGAGAAGAGAATGGAAAAAGGGTAATTACATTAATGACACCGGGCTGGGCATGATGACGGGCTAAATAATCATTATATTCCTGATCAGTAAACATCTGTTCTTGGTCTAACGTCTGTAAATAATAATAATAATAATAATAATTACATTGTCCTGTTGATGATGTTCTTTTAAGAAATCTTGGTAATCACCATCGTTAAAAATATCTTCTTGATCCAACGTCTACAAATAGAGTCATTATTATATTTCATAAACATAAAACACCCCCTCCCTCTCTCTCTCTCCTACTTTCACCAAAATACCCCTTTACCACCTTCCCAATTATTCACAAGCTCATATAGATTTAGTTATCACATTTCAAGAACACAATAGAATCCTCAAGACACTGTCATGAAGCACATACTGGGAAGTAAAATTTACATCAGATTCCAAATACAAAATAATACTTTTCCCTTTCAGTCTCGACACATAATTTTACTTCAACAAAAATATCAAGGACTCTGCCAACACAGGAAATATATCAATTATATATCTCCATCATTCAATTTGATTTTTATTATAAATGGAAAACGAATGAGGGCCCTCTAATAAGGCAGATAGCTAGATATTTCATAGTAAATATCTGGATACCATTGTCCTTAAAAAAAAAATCACAAGCAGCCATTTTGGAGATCCAGTCAGACAAGATTGGTTGAATAACAACTTACCTTCCAATCTTCATTTTCCTCAAATTCTTTTCGATCTCCTTTAGGTCCGGTATAAATGAGGAACTCATCTCGAGTAATGAATTTATCATGATTTTGATCTATCTCGGTGAAAATATGTTCTCTCATTCTGTTCATCTCTTCAACTCGCTCAACTGGGTCGTCTTCATCAGCGTTCTTTTCATCGTAAGCTTTATCTAACTACAAATAAAACATCAACATTTAAACAACTAGAAAATAAACGATCGTAAGCTTTCCTAATGAAAAATATTGAATTAAACCAAGTCAATGTAAAATGAATTAATGGGAAAATTATGAAAATCTAACTCATTGTACATCAATAATCTACATGGGGCTATGGTCCTCTTTATCCAAATAGCTTTAACCAATTAACACTAGAGTTGCTGCCAGTGCTCATTCAACAAAACTTAAAAATGGTTACGTGAAAGCAAGTCCATTGGCCAGTTTGAAAAACATGGGACATCAATTAGATTTACTACTTCGGTCCCAAATACATGCTATACCTGCTCAAGTAGTTTCAAGTATGATGATGAGACAATGTACAGATGGGAGAATATCAAGTGACATCAAAAACAAATCATTAAATAGAAGTCTTTATAAAATTCACTGTGACAAGGTGTATTGGCTGGGAAGATATTACTGGTATTCAGAAATATGTTTGTGTAGAAGATTATTGTATCAACTTACCTCGTGTTGTAAGAGAGCTTCTACTTCTTGTATACTCCATACACCATCTCCATTTGCATCTATAATTATACAAGGGAGATAATTCTCAGATTATACAGGGGAGATAATTCTCAGATTATACAGGGGAGATAATGTTAATGTAGTTTCTGTCGGTGAAAGAGATTTATCTCTGTTTATCACTGTCAAGTGGCATTAGCCTACTTGTTTTTATTTACGACTGTCAAGGAATCTTCAACGTGCACACAGGACCTCAGATAGATTCATATGAAAATGAAAAGTCAGAACTTACCATGTAAAAGAAAAAATGTTTTAGGATCGAAATCTTCTTTATCTAGATGGTCTGTATTCTCCCAAACTTCTTCAAACTGATCTTTACTGGCCTGAAATTACACAGAAATACTTGTTAAATAATATACATTGATGTGTTAGATGGTGATGAGAACATAGTCTCATAAAAGCACTGGTCAAGGTCACAAAGTAAAGATTTACAATAAAACTAGGTGCAAGTAGAAGGTTATGTTAATTAAATATGTTAACTAGGGATGTCTGTTGTTTGAGAGTGAATACTGGATTGATCAAGGGCAATAACTCAACTATTCAATCAACATTGTCTCAGAGTATGGACAATTTATGTTTTTTTCAAGTTTTCAGGGAGATAGCAGATAAATTGCAGAGCATAAAAATGGAAATTCTTGTTTTGCTTTGTGATGTTTTTGTACACTGTATTGTCAAGTGAAAAAAATACAATTTATCAGATTATAAACACCAGCTTGCGTAACTGATTAATTGAAGGAAGTGATAGTAGATATTAAGCATATTTCATGTCCAATTCAAATATTGAACAGAAGGACCGAATGAATAAAAAAAAGTTTGAAGGAAGACCCCTAATGGACTGCTCCACACACTGATGAGTAAATATGAACTGTTCTTACTGGATGATTAATCTTTTCATGTTCACCGTGTTTCTTTTTTAATTCAGCCAATCGTTCTTCTTCTTTCTTTCTCTCCTCTTCGGATAAATGTTTTAATTTCTCTTTTTCTTCGTACTGTTTCTCCATCTCGTATTCCTTAAATTCATCTCGTCGTTGTTTATCTAATTCTTCTAAATCATTGGTTGTCTGAAACACACAAAAATTCAGTTCATGAAGATTGTATCTAACTATATAAATTAATCTCAGCCCTATAAATAGTTAAATACCCAAGACACCTGCCACTATTAAATAGGTCATGTTTAAATACACAGTCATAATATCTCTGAACTCCCTTTAAATTCTAATGAAATGTTTAATACCTTTTTGATTAAACTTTCTAAATCTTTCATTTCAAAGGAATGTGGGTTCATGACATCTAAATGTCCAGGTATTCTTATATCTCGCACGGCTCCTGCAATATAGATCAATAATCATAATATAAATACAGAACCTGAAACATGTTGTTTCATTCTTTGTGATCTTCAGATGATATGGCTTGATATAACTAATTCACACTGCCCTTACATCTTACGATGGAACAAGATCACATGAAGAAAATACTCAAATTATTCTACATTAAGAGTTTCTGAAATGGGACCCCCAATATCTTTAATTACAGGTAAACCTGCGTCCAACTGAATCCAAACAATAAAGAAAGTGGATAGAGACAGAGAATAATGCAAATACTGCTGGAAAATTGAACAACACAATATATCTACATGTATATAGTTTTCTATATTCTAATGAATATATACAAAGGTTAGTATTTAAAATAGTCTATTCTAAAGTCATCAAAAAAACAAATGAAAAAGTGAATAAAAAACAACTGTTTAAGGGTTAGAGGTTAAAGATGGGTTCCCTTATTTTTATTTAATGAGCTAAAATTAAAAGAGAATTACCAGCAGAATTCCAATGAGTGACCGATCAAGAAAGGTCAGAAAGTATTTTTTTGTTTATCCAGACTACATACATGAACATTTATGATTGGTTAAAACTCTTAATTATATGCAATAAGAACATAACGATATGATTAAGAATACCTGATAATTCACTAGAAATACCAATTAATCATATATATATCAAAATAAGGGAACCCATCTTTGAAGATGAAAGATAAAAGTCATGGTATATATAAGGATAAAAATGCAAAAATCAAATGATTTATTAGAGCAGGTCTCTTGTATATTATATACTTGTAACAAATCATCATTCACTTCCATTTAGACATTTTTTCATTTTTAATTTTGAACTTTTCACCTTTTTTGATATTTCTCAATGTTAACTATTATTATATTGAAGATATCATCAAAATACAAACCAAATAGGACACAAACAACAACAACAATTGCCTTGGGTGTATTACATTTTTTCGTAAATCCCAATCCATTAGTTATTGGTTATAGTGTCTAAAAGGGGCAGAATAGAAGACAGGCCTATCAATGGGTACTCAGGATCTTCTCTTGATGCTCATCAGTAATGTAAGGCCTAATCATTTTTACCCTTTTGTAATAATGATATTATAATCAAAGTTCTCAAGCTAACAAAATCAATGAGAAATAATTCTAAGAAGGGATAGCTAGAACTTTAGAGTGAAAAATTGATATAACTGGTAAAACTATAGTAACTAGGGGTGCTAAACTGATATCTAAAGTAACTATATGGTGAACTGGTAACTTTAATACTAGGTGATGAAATGGTACCTATAGTAACTAAGTAGTAAAACTTGCAACTATAGTAACTAAGTAGTAAAGTAATAACTATAGTAATTAGGGTGCTGAACTGGTAACTACAGTAACTAGGAGTGTAGAGACGATTACTATAGTAATAAGGGTGCTGAACTGGTAACTAGTTGGTGAACTGGTAACCATAGTACCAAGGAGTGTAGGGCTGATTACTACAATAATTAGGGGTGATGAACTGGTTACTAGGGTGCATAACTGTTAACTATGGTAACTAGAGGTGATGTTCTGTTAACTATGGTAACTAGAGGTGATGAACTGGTAACTATAGTAACTAGAGGTGCCGTAACTCCAGAGTTAGTATTAAGTTACCTCCATGATACGCTATATTATGTAATATTTCCGTACCCTTCATTTGTTTCATTTTCAATCGAGCTAGTTCCTGTAATCTATCTACTTCTCGTCGTTTGATTTCATCTAATTTCGTTCGAACGTTGTGACCCACAAACTCCAGATGTCTGGCGATACTTCCATCCTAGAAAGCACAAAAATAATGTAATTTAAACAACTAAATACAAGAAAACTTCAGTGTAGGCTAATGAAGAAGGATAGGAAAAGCCATGCTTTGTGCAATTAGGGACATTTTTCTAGGACAAAGGAAGCAGGTAACATTGTTTCAATTTCCAACTACATTTCATTTCAACCATATTGGGATCAGAGACTAGCATATTAAGCCAGTGTTTATCATTTCATCTCCTAAACAATTTTGGATTGATGCCATGCAGTGAACAATAAGGGAAAGGCAATAGTTTGATATACACTGCTTTGAAATCCAGATATACAACAATCATAATTGAATAATCAGTTACACTAGAGTCCTTATTGACAACTGAATTAAAGAATTAGTTCTGGTTGGTTAATACGGTGATATGAAAGCTGTCAATATATGAATGATTTAATAAAATACATTATTACGCAGAGTATACTGTATATCAGATCTTTCAAGTTAATTATAGGCTGTAACAGCTGGTTGCAAGATATGATTTCTCTTATACATTGTAGGACATAGTCAAGACAAAAATTCTTTCCAATCACCATCTCTGCTATCATCCAAAAATATTATAATATTTCTACAGCTGCAGCCAATAGAAAACTATTTTACACAAATTTTCAATCTAACATCTGTGGCTCATGCAATTCCACCTAAATTAAATGCATTATGTGATGTTATTTTCACAAAGGTCCTTATATATTAATAACAGCTTTTGTAATAGTGACGTCAAACGCTAATTTTAGTAGAAATACAAGAGCCACGGACATTTTGACTGAAAATTGAAATGGTTCAAATTGATGATACAAATAATACGTTTAGAAAACACCTTTACAAGCCCTTTAAGTCTTAATATCAGCTGATCAACATCTTAAAGTCTGATTTTGTAATTTTTAATCTTTCCTCTCTTTATTGAAATAGCCAACATTATAAGTTTTCTTACCTTGATTTCTGAAACATTGGCAGCTTCTAATTTTTTCCTAAAATCTTCATCTTCTTCCAGCACAGAGACAATCTCTCGTAAATATCTATCATACTCTAAACCAGTGTCCTAAAATATATCATTATTAGATTTTATAGTTAGGGTAATTGAAAGTAACAAGTTACTATTCGACAGTAGGCATTGGCACAGGGTTCAAGACTAAATGGGAAATCCATTGAACCATAAAATTGGAAAACCACATCTTGTAAATCTTGTAATCCTCGTCCTCACTCATAAAAAGTTTGTCATATAGTCTAATATACTGGTACAGAGAGAAAAAGAAATTAAAAAAGAACTCTTTCAAAAAAAAAAACAATTAATGTAACTCACAACAACTTCATCTTTTGAATCTCCTTCAATAGGTTGTTGTTTTTGTTGTTGAACAGGAGCTGTGAATACTGTATTTAATAACACTACCAGTACAGCTGTACCAAACAGACAGTATCTAAACTGGACTATCATCATGAACTGGAATAAAAGAAACAAGCAATGATAGATGGAATCAAACTAGAGCTAAAGAGACAAGCTAGAGACAAAGTTAAATGACATCCGTTTGGAAATAACTGTTTCGTTTCATTTTCTTTTCTGTGGTGTATGAAAGTTTGATCATTTCAACAAGATCATTGGTCTGGGGAAGTAACTATTTCTGACACCGACAGACAGTGACTTGAGTGACACAGTGCTTTAAAATTCTTAATAATATCATTAATATAGCAAATAATGATACCCCGACCCCTTGCCACTACTAATAACAAAAATATATCAAGACCAAGTACGGAACTTATGAATTCTAATTAGGTTTAAAATTTTACATGTTTAAAGTGATACTACATCTTAGAATGAACATAAAATTTAAGAATTTTAAACTTGGCGAATAAGAGCCAGTACGCAGTAGATATACCTGGTGTCATAAATAACATAACAAGATCCTTATGTAATCCGATAAATCCAAAAAACTTAGCAATTATCCATATATATGCAATAAACTATTGAAAAACTCTTAATATCAAGATTAAGCGTTTTTCAATAATTACTTAGGAATTTTCAAATTTTCCAGGGATTCTGTTGTAACTTTATGACACCAGGTAAGTTTACTGATGAATATATACTCATATTGACCATTCTTGAGATACAATTTTATGTTCATTCTAAGACGTAGTATCACTTTAATCAAAGTCTGTCTGTCACCTACAGCAGACGGCTAATGATTTGCTTGACAAACTTCACGATTAATTTGAATGATCAAAATAGTAATCATTCAATGCCGCAAGAGAAAATAAATTCTTTAAAACATACATTTGGTCACTTTTACAAAATTTATGGCCAAAGTATTAAAAAGAACTACCTATAAGCTACAAATTTTGGCACAAACCTCTAAAATTGGTAGTAAAATGTCCTTTATTCGTCGTAAATTGACGTCCAGATGGTAAAATGTGTATTTTCTATGAAGATAATCAAACCGGATGTTGGACGTGTTTTTGGTGTCCGGAACTAAATTTTCTCGGCAGTCTGATTGGTTGAAATTGTTTTGTACACGTAATCGATAAAATCTTGCTAAAAATAGAAGTTCAAGATGTCAGGCCGATGGAGGTTATTGAATTAAAGTGGTGGTCTGGCGTGGTAAAAGTAAAGAAAAGACAAAGGTTAAAAAAAAAATAAAAATTTACAAATTGATAAAATCTATTCACGATTTCTACCGAATTGTTTCGATATTCAAAAATAAAAAAAAAACACTATTTATAAGGACAATAACTTAGGTTCTCAATGTCAAGCTACTAAGTTCGAAAAGCTTGACATTGTGAAAGTCAAATCGCAGCTGGATCGACTGAAATAATGAGGAAATGTGACACAATGCCCACCGACTATAGAACCAACGACCTTCATTGAGAGCTCTAGGTATCTTCCTCAGGGAAGCTTATTTTTTTTAAAATGGTCTAATCTAAATTGCAACAAAATTCAAGTGCGATCATCCATGCAAATATAGAAAAACTTTACTTGTTCCTTTAACTTAAAAGATATATTTTAACTCACAACAGCCTGCTTTTATCTCCATCCGGAACATATTTATCA